GCGCGCGCCATCAGCCTCGACTCTGACACTTTACAGTTTGGAGCATTTTTAGGTATACAGACAGAAAAACTGAGCAGGTACTACAGCAAATTCCCATCCACCTCTTCCCTCCTGGGATTCCCACCCTGCACCGACTGGTGTGTTACGTTTGCCACAACCCAGGAGCCGATCCTGAGTGTGTTATTATGAACTCAGGTCCGCAGTTTCTATCAGGGCCCACGCTTCGCGTACTTTCTCCAGGTGCTGCCACAGATGCAGCGCTACCGCGGCCCACAGCAGTTCCATTGCCCTAAAACCCTGCTGTGACCCCTGCCGCGATCCCCCCCGCCCCCCGCAACCCCGCCCTGGCAGTCACAGATCTCTGTGCTGTCTCCATGATTTTGTCCTTTCCGGAATGTCATCAGGTTGGAATCCTAGCTTGTGTGGATTGGCTTCTTGCACAAGGCAGTGTGCACGTACGGTTCCTCTATATGTGGGCCTTTTAGTGGGCTTGCTGGGTCATTTCCTCTTACAGCTGGATAAAACTGAGCTGAATGGATGTACCACAGTCTGTTAGAGACACGCACATGGAAGCTGACTGTATTTCTGCAAAGGCATGACCATAAGCATCTTGGCCCCACTGCTCTGACTCATGAGGACCTGACAGCTACCACATTTCAAGAGCTCATTGCATTACCAGGCATCACAGCAAAAGCTTTACTCATCACTCTCCGTTTACCGAGTGCCTCCTGCATGCAGGTCTGTCCCCGGGGCTGGGGACAGAGCAGTCGACTGTCTCAGGCTTGCGTGAATTACAAACAGCAGACAGACGTACTGTCCTATAGTGAGTCTCCGGGTAAGGGGTAAACTCAGGCCCGTCCACCCTGAAGTCCCTGCTGCTAAGCCTGAAAGGAGAGGCTGGCAGCGTAGGGGCTCCACACGGATGCTTCTGGAAGTATATCCCATGGCAAAGCAGAAGCGAAGGAGCCCCGGGTCCAGTTAGCAGCCCTGGCTTCGAGGCCTGACCTCAAGCTCTATACAGACAGACCAGGCCAGGAGCATGGAGGGTGAGGGCAGGCTGGCGGCCAGGAGCCCATTTTCACGGTCAAGCCCCTGAGGCTCCTGCGCTCGGGCACCCCACTCTCATTGCCCCAAAAGACCAGCAGGAAGCCCCACTCGGCCTGGCTCTCCGGGAGCAGGGACCACCGGGCCCCGAGATCCCCAGCGACTCCGAGGGGGCAGAGCCAGATGAGGGGGCCGAGCGCGGGGCTGAGTCACTGCTACTATTTGGACATTTCCCCCTTCAGAATGACAGTCTCGGCAAACACCTTAAATGCCAATGGAGAACAAATGCCACTGGAAAGTTTGATCATCCTTCATCTTGTAAGCAAAGAAACGCCACCTGGAGCAAGGCGAATGCGGGAGAGGAGGGGCCTGGGGCCACCGTCTCCACTGCTTGCCATGGGGGCTCGGCTGTCACCAAGGGCGGGCTCCTCGGCCCACACCTGGGTGCGCAGGCTTGGGCCCTGCGGGGGTTGGGGGGTGTGCTTACCTGCAGGCGGGTGCGCCCAGCTCACCCGGGACACGAGCCCCGCCCGGCGCGGGGGGGACACCGGTCACCGCTACAGAGATGCTGAGATGCTGGCTGGGCAGGCGTTCAGGGCTCAGGGCTGAGCTGGACCGCCTGGGCTTGAATGCCGGCCCTGCCGCCCTCGGCTGGGTGACCTTAACCAACGGACATACCCTCCCTGTGCCTTGGTTCCCCACGTGCAACAGATAGACGGTATCAGTGCCCTCCCTCAAGGGATGCGAGGTGGGTCCACAAGAACATTCCAGAAAGAACGTAGCCCAGGGCCACGGCTATGACCCCTGGAGATCCTGCAGATCTGCAGAGAGATGGGCTCTGTGCTGGGCATGGGGCAACCGAGCCAAATGGGACACGGCCTGAGTGACAGGTGGACAGGGAGGCACCTGGTTTCGTGGAAGACCAGCGAGACGGACACACGAGCTCCCCACCGACCTTCGCCTTCACATCGCGTCTGTCCGTCCCAGAGCAGATGAGCAGAGGCATGCCTCTCGTGTTTTTCCTTAAATTTAAAGGGCTCTTTTAAATCACGTTTACAAATTTTTTAAAACATTTTTTTATTTCTGAGAGACAGAGTGAGACAGAGCACGAGTGGGGAGGGGCAGAGAGAGAGACACACACAGACTCTGAAGCAGCTCCAGGCTCTGAGCTGTCAGCACAGAGCCCGACGTGGGGCTCGAACCCATGAACCGTGAGATCATGACCTGAGTCGAAGTTGGACGCTTAACTGACTGAGCCACCCAGGCGCCCCTAAATCATTTTTAAGTTTATCCATTTATTTTGAGCGAGAGAGAGATCAAGCAGGGGAGAGGCAGAGAGAGAGGGGAGGGAGAATCCAAGCAGGCTCTGCATTGTCAGCACTGAGCCTGACATGAGACTCGAAGTTACACACCACCATGAGATTGTGACCTGAGCTGCGATCGAGAGTTGGGCGCTTAGCCAGCTGAGCCCCCAGGCGCCCCAGAAAAAGTGAGCACCAAGTAGAGTTCCCACACACGGCACCTCTTTTTCTTACACCAAGAGTAACGCATTCGACCCGCTGCTCTGCTTCCGGCTCCTTTCACTTAAAACACCTACTTGGCCATCGTCCCCTGGCAGGACACCAGAGCCACCTCGTCTTTGCAATCGCTCCAGCACACAGCCCTGCACGGACGCTCTGTGTCTTCCTGGACTCACGCCCTCCTGGGGCTGCGTGGGTTGTTTCCAGGAGGGGCGAGCGGAACTGCAGGGTTCAGTCCCGGAAGTGCAGAGGCGGGGGGCAAAGGGTACCCATGATCGGTGCCGTAGTAGGAAGTGATGAGTTTCCTCCAGGAAAGATGTGCCAACACAACCTCTCCCCGCAAGTAAGAGCACCTCTGCCCACCCCACTTCTCAAACAATAGACCGAGGTGAAGAAGAAAGGGCCTCGAGACAGAATGGCCGTCCTCGGGCCACCCCCGCACCGGGGCTGCCGGCCAAGCGGACTAGAACATATGACATCCTCGTGAGGGCTGCTGCCCTCCCCGCTTGTAATTTTGTGTAACGGCAACAGACAACCACAAACGGAGAACTCTAAATACCCTTACGATATCTTCAAAAAAATATGAAATAGTTAGGGATACTTCTGGCAAAAGGCTGGTCAGACCTGTACACGAGAAGCATCAAAACACTGCGGACGGAAGTGAATGAGCCAACGCAGTGGAGAGTCCCTGTGACTTTGCAGCAGACGCCACGTGATGGCCATGTTAAGCTGTCCACGCTCCTCAATGTGATCTGTGGACTCAGTGTGATCCCAACAGGCTTTTTATAGAAAATAACAAGCTGACTGCTAAATTCATATGGAAACGCAAGCTATCTTGAATAGCCAAAAAGTATTTTTTAAACGTTTTATTTATTTAGAGAGTGAACACGGGCGGGGGAAGGGCAAAGAGAGAGAGAGAATCCCAAGCTGTCAAGCTATCTCTGGGCTGTCCGTGTAGAGCCCGATGTGGGGCTCGAGCTCACTAACCATGAGATCATGATCTGAAGCAAGAGTCAGGCGCTTAACTGACTGAGCCACCCAGGGGCCCGGAGATAGAGAATCTTGAGCAGGCGCGACACTCCATGTGGAGCCTGACACGGGGCTCAACCCTGCAACTGTGGGATCGTGGCCTGAGCTGAAATCCAGAGTTGGACATCCAACTGACTGAGCCATGCAGGAGCCCCCAAAAGGTTTTTGAGAAAGAAGAACAAAACTGGGGGACTGACCCGATCTATTTCAAGACTTGTTAGGAAGACACGATAATCAAGACAGTCGATGATGGAACAGAAGAGAGAGCTCAGAGTAAGACCCACGTGCATACGTGAACAACTGGTTTTGACCGAGCACAAGGCAATCTGACGGAGAAAGGGCTGGTACCTCGTTCCTGCTGCGGGAGGTTGCGCCTGCCAACCCCCCCTCCCCCGCCCTTTCATTCCTGGAGAAGCCTGGCTAGAGGTTTATCAAGTTTACTGCTGTCTTCAAAGAACTGGCTTTAGGTATCATTATTTCCCCTATTTTTCTATTTTCTATTTCATCGATTGCTGTGATCTTCACCATTTCCCTTTTTCTGCTTATGTCGGGTTTAATTTGCTCTTTTTCTTCTAGCTTCTCAGAGTGGAAGCTGAGGTCATTGATTTTAGCACTTTCTTTTCCAATCGAAGCATTCAGCACTATAAATTTCCCTTAAGGACTACTTTTGTGGTGCCCTACAAATGTCGGTGGGTTGTGTTTTCATTTTCATTCAACTCAAATACTACCTAATTTCCCATTTGATTCTTACTTTGACCCATGAATTATTTAGAGCAGTATTATTTAGTTTACAAGTGTTTGGGGGGATTTTCCTGAGATCTTTCTCTTATTGGTTCCTAATACAATTCTACTAGGGAACAAATTTGTATGACTTGAATACTTTGAGTTTATTGACACTTATTTTATGACCCAGAATACGGTTTATCTTGAGGACTGTTCCAAGTGCTTTTGAAAAGAAGGCATAAAGTTCTATAAACGTCAATTAGGCCAAATTAGTTGGTAACATTGTTCAAATTTCCTATATCCTTACTGATTTTCTGTGTACTTGGTCTACTGGCTATTTAAACGGATGTTGAAAGAGCTGATTATAATTGTGGACCTATTCCTCTTTACAGGTCTACCAATTTTTGCTTCATGTATTTTGAAACTCTGTTATTAGATGCATATGTGTTTATAGTTCTTATGTCTTCTACAGAATAGACTCTTTTATCATTATGAAATTACATTCTTAAACTCTGTTAACATTCTTCTTTTTTGGGGGGGGGCACTGTGGGAGTTGGCAACCACAGGCCCCCAAATCCTTCACTTACTTATAGGAAATGCACTTACTTATAGGAAACAAACACCTTCCCAAACTTGTTTTTCACACGCGCACCTGTGGATTCTTTCAAGTAATTTAAGACAGGACAGGCAGAATGTGACTCCCAGACGTCCTGCAAATCAGTAGGTCACCTTAGGGATGACCTTTACCCGTTCAAAAATTTGTCTCCCATCAGCAGTGAGGATTTAGGGGTCACCCTGAATCATTATTTTCCTTACTTGTAAGTTTAAGGCATTCTGTTAACATCCTTTATTCTGAAATCCACTTTGGTACTAATATCCCCATTGCAGTTTTCTTTTGGTATAGCCTTTCCACACACTTGCTTTTAACATGCCCGTGTCTTTATAATTAAGGTGTGTTCCTTGGAAGCATCTTGCTTTTAATCTAGCCTGACAATTCTGCCTTTTAACTGGGTTGTGTTTATACCATTTACATTTAATATGATTGTTGGTATGGTTAGGTTTAACTGCATCTTCTATTTAATTCTTTTTCTCTCTTTTTCTACCTTTTTTGGGGCTGAATATTTTTATGATTCCATCTTATCTCCTCTGTCACCTTATTAGCTACAATTTTTTGTTTTGTTACTTTAGCAGTTGCCCTAGTGATTTTAGTATATATCCTTAACTTTCAATCAAGTGACGGTCTATCCTTGACATAGAGCATAAGGACCTTACGGTAGGATATATCCATCCCTCTCCTCCCAGACTTCGTGTTGTGGTTAGCATGCATATTACCTTTCCCTATGTCATAACATGCAAACTACATTGTTATTATTTCTGTTTAAAGCCAATGACTTCTACTTATTAAAAAAATATTTTTAAGCCAATGACTTCTAAAGGGATTTAAATAACAAGAAAGTTTCTTTACATAATCTTGCAGTTGCCATTTCTTGTGCCTTCCTTCCTCTGAGTATTTCTTTTTTTTTTTTTCCCCTCTCCTCTGAATATTTCTATCTGGTGTCATTCTCCTTGTACCTAAAGGAAGTCTTTCGACGTTTCTTAAAGTGCATCCTGCTGGTGATAAAGTCTTTTAGCTTTTGTGTTTTGAAGAAGTCTTTATTTTACCTTTGTTTAGGAGGTAGCTGTTTTCCTTCCCCGTTAGTACTTTAAAAACGTGTATCTGTGCCTTCTCACCTGCACTGTTTCTCACTCTGGATCTGCTGTCATTCCTGTCTTTGTTCTTTGTATGGGATGCATCTTTCCTCCCCTCTGGTGCCTTTTTAAAGATTTTTATCTTTATCACTGGCTTCGAGTAGTTGGAAAACTGTGTGTGTTGGGGTACTTTTCTCCCCAGGGTGTCTTGAGTTTGTCCCATAGTTTGCTTGCAGTTTGGAAACATTTTCATCATTATTTAAATATTTTTTCTGTTTTTCTCCCCACATGATCACCTCCACTCCAGGAACTTATATAAAGTTGACCCTTGGCTCACTGATACTCGTTTTATTTTCTTAAAAATGATGATTCCTTTCTCTCTCTGTGTGTCGCCCTTGGGATAACTTCTAACATTACTTCTTCAAGTTCACTGTCCTTTCCTTCTGCGGTGTCTGATCTGCCATTAATCCCATGCTGTGTTTTTCATTTCAGACACTGTAGTTTTCAACTCTGGAAGTCTGAGTTTTAAAATTAAAAATTTTTTAATTGTGGGGAAATACACACAACATAAAATTTGTCTTAATAATTTTTAAGTGCATAGACCAGAGAACTTGAAGTTTTTTTCCATGTCACTATTAGCCTACAGAATATATTATAATGCTTCTTTAATAGCCTTATCTGCTAATTCTAACATCTGTGTCAATCCCTATGACAGTCAATTGACTGTCAACCAAGTCAGCTTTGATTAATTGATTTTTCTCCTACGGGTTGTGTTTTCTGCATCTTTTGCACACCTGGGAATTTCTGGATGGATGCCAGACACTGCAAATTCCACTTTGCTGGGGTGCTGGATATTTCTGTATTCTTATACATATTCCTGAGCTTTGTTTTGGGTGCAGCTAAGTGACCCGGAAAGGGCCTGATGTTTCAGGTCTTGGTTTTAAGATTTGTTAGGTGAGAACAGAGGCATGATTGGTTTAGGGCTGATTACTCCCCAGGGTGAAGGTGAGCCCCTCCTGAGTACCCTTCCCAATGCTGCATGAATTACACGAATGTGTTTTTTTTTTTTTTTCTTTTTTCCAGTTTGGCAGGTAGGAAGAGGAACAGCCTCTTTATCTCGTGTAAGTTCCAGACACTGTTCTCTAACCCTCTGGGTGATACTTCCTCTGGTTTTTATAATAACTGCAGAGCCCCTGGGCTCTCAGCCCCACCTCTACCTGAGCGTCCTTCCAGCCTGTGCTGGGGTTCTTGCTCCCAGACACTGATCGCGGGACGCTGGGGCGGTCACAGGGCCTGTCTTGTGTGTCTGCATCTCACAGTTATCTGCCACCCAATGCCTTGTTTCATACATTGTGTCTAGGTTTTGGTCGTTTCCTGTGGAAAGGCAAGTCTAGCCTCAGTTTCCCTATCATGACCATGAACAGAAGTCGGCATTCGTTTTTGTTTTATTTTGTTTTTTTAAATTTTAAGTTTCTTTTTTTTTTTTATGGAAAATCTCGAACAGAAACAAAAGTAAAGAGAAGTAGCACAGTAGGCCCTGTGAGCCCTCCTGAAATTTCCACAATCATCCATTTTTCGGCACTGCTCTTACCGAGACAAACTCAAACTTCCCTGCTTTTAATCCACACACCACCACGCGTCTCGTGGTGCTGACCCCAAATGGGAGTGGAGGCGCAACCGTGCCCCAGGACAGTGACCATTCACTCAAGACGCCCTTGGGGGTGGCGTGGCCCCCATGGCCTGAATGCCAAGACTCTCAGACTCACTCTGAAGGCTGTAATCACAAGTGACAAAGACACAGGGGATCACCGATCTCAGAGGAGGAGGAAACACCGGTATTCCCCAGACGGAACCTCATCCCCCCCCCCCAGATGTTCCCGATGGCACACACCTGGCGAGACAGCAACTCACACGGATGCCCTGAAATCACACATGCACCACTGACAAGCAATTCATTTACTCTTTATCGTAACTGCTCAGCAATCTCTTCTCTATTTCCTATTCAGAGGCCTTTGGATGCATCAATCTGAATAATTGATTTGAACGGAAAACCTCAAGCTTTCAAAGTCCCTCGTTAATTACCCAGAGAGAAAGAGGGAAGACACTACTCGGCCACTCATCTGCTGAACACGATCAAAGAAACCCCACGCGGTGGTGCTCGGTTCCTTGGTTGGCCCGATGTACCCTTTTCCTTCACAGATGGCAGGATGCTTCTGGAACTTTCTCAGTAGCTGCCGAGTACCGCTACCATCGCCAAGGAGTGCTGCCCTTCCACCTGCCATCAAACGCACTTGGCTGTAACTGGTAAAAAGTGGTCTGTAGGGCCATCTTTTATTGGGCTGCTGTCATGGGCTCGGCAGCGTGTCCTCCCCCTCCCCCACTGAAACCATGTTGAAGCCCTACCCTCAGCACCTCAGCCCGTGACTGTATTTGGGGGACGGCCCCGGGCTCAGGCGTCCTTACAAGAAGAGGAAATTGAGGCTAGGGAGACATCAGTGGTGGCCCCACAGGGGGAGAAGGTCCTTTGCAAGCCAGGGAGAGAAGCCTTGGGGGAAACCTGCCCTTCCAGCCCCCACGACTCTGAGCAAGTGGCTGTGTCATTGAAGCCACGCGGTCTGTGGTGCTTTGCTTTGCCGACAGGATGGGTGCTAAGCCCCGTGCCCTCCGTGGAGATGGTAGGTAGGAAGGCTCCAGATGCTGATGTGTTTTCCCACCAAGAATTTTCAAATGCACCAGACTATTCACACCAAAACACGGTGACAGGGAGACAGGCCACCAAGGAGTGAGCGGTGAGTCTAAGCTAGGGAGCCGGGTCCAGGCAGTCAGTTCCTGGGGAACCGAAGGCTGGCGGCACACGCATGAAGGGCTGTGAGGCCAGGGGCAGGTGGCCAGAGGATGACATCCATCCTGGCTGGCACGGCTTCTGCGAAGGGATCCGAGGCGGCCTCCTGCCAGGAGGAACCTAGAAATCAGTTTCCTGGCAGCTGCTGCTTCTCCCCCGTTACCCGGAGGCAGGCATCAGGGGAGGCTGGAGGAAGGGGTCGCTCTGGAGGAGAAGCTGCCTCCAGCCCCAGGGTGGAGCCTACTCCCTCTTTGAAAATCCCCTGGCCCGGAGCTTAAGGAGAGGAGTCAGGAAAAGGTGGCGCCATGAAAGGAACACAGAGAATGGCACGTCCTTTCCTCTCCCTCATGTTCCCGAAAGCTCCTTGCAGGGAACTCCTCAGCTTAATAACTCAGGAAAAACACTAAAGGCGATCCTGAAAACGGCGCTTAATGGGTTCTCGGGGGCGGCTGGAATCAGAGCTCCGTGGAGTCGGGGAGAACCTCGTTACGGGGAGAACCTCAGGCTGCAGCGAGAACGTGCGAATCGCCCCAAAGCCAGTGCGCTGGGGGGCACGGCCACTGCTCCTTCTGGAGGGTGACCGGCCTGTCCCTTTGGGCAGGGAAGCAGCGAGGTAAGGGCATCAAGGGGCCCGCCAGGTGTCACCTCTGAGACCCGTTCCTGCAGCCACCCCGCCGGAGAGCCCCCGTCCCCGTGGGGACACAGCCCCCGGCACCCACCCCAGCCGGTGACTTGTGACCATGAGCCACTGCCGGCAACGGCTCCTCGTCCGCCCGCCAGGCCCCCCTCCCGTGCCCTGGGGCGGCTGGTGGGCTGACCTGCGCAGAGACCCCCCCAGGAGGGAAGGTAGGACCCCCGAGTCCGTCTGTGCAGCGTCTCCTCCGGTCCTGCCGCCGGCCTCCTCCCCTCCGCGGTCCGCAGGGGCCAGGGCTTCTCTGGTCATGTGGCCCCCACGTGACCCAGTCCTGGCCCCGCGAGCTTCCGGTTTCCCAAGCCGCGAGGACACGCCTTCTTCAGGCACGGGTTGCGCCCACGTGACGCAGCCCTGGCCGGTCCTAGCTTCCCATTTCCCAGGCTGCAGTGATTGGCTTAAGGACGGTCATGTGACCCAGGCCTGGCCAATCAGGACCCTGCCCGGGTTTTTTCTGCCAGGTCTCTGGGGCAGGTGGTCCGCCGCTGTCGGGGCGCAAGGGTGTGCGAGGGGTGGGTGGGTGTGCGCACTGCACACGTGCGTGCTGTGCTCCTGGCTCTGCGGAGGCCCCGCGGCACTGGGAAGGGGGCCGATGAACGATGGGAGGAGTG